AGATGCCTCGTTGTTCGTCTATCACCATGGCGACATGAGTGCTTACTTGTTGCTCTATGTTGACGACATCATCTTGACGGTCAAACAAAATTCGGATCTATCTAGACTCAATCTCGTAGCTGAATTTGGATTGGAATATGTTTTGTGCACTGTTCAATAAAACAGGCATATCTTCCTCATACGAAGTCCGTTTTGGCCCCTCGAGTACTCAAATTAAAGCTAGTGATGAGCTGTATCTGAATAGTTGCAGAAGCATGTTCAATATTTGACACCTAAAAATCGGCTTCTAAATAGGTCTTTTTGCCCTCTGAAGTTCGCGAACACACCTTATTCCAGTTTTTCAGCCTAGTTTTAGATTTTTTACTCCTCATATCAACTCGGAATTGAGTAATTCTTTTTGCGTGTGAAAGCTTGAGTTAGTGCCATTCTTGAGAAAAATTGTCATAAAATTGGCACAAACTTTTCTAGAGGAAAGTTGGAGAGAGAGAGTTGTTGGTATATCCTGCTTGGCAGTTGTTTATCATCATTATCTTTACTGACATTGTGATCTTCACTTATATCTTGCTGTCCAAAGCTACTTCATATCCTTTATTGATGCTAGTTGTGCTATGCCATGACCTCATTAGTGTTCTAGACTCGCATCTCTACTCCGGTCTATCCTAGGACCATCATAATACCATCGTTGAGCGTTTATTCAACGTTGCATCTCTGAATTGATTATTGCTAATCTATTGCTACCATATATTTAAGCCTTCCAAGGTTCACATATTTCTACACTGTGCATAAGTACGTTCCCATGGCCATCGCTTTACTCAATCTTTGGAGTTATTTGACACCGCTGGTTGCCAGTCACCACCTACTGCATGGTAAGAACCTGTAAGCCATTGATATTTGCTATACTATGAGCATTTTACCATCACATCCTAGTAGTTCATAGGAATGTTATTCTCGAATTTTATTTCTTGTTTTCTACTAATTATGGCAGGTTCTAGAGTTGTTGGTTCTTGGGCATCATCGATCGGGGGAGACTTTCCACCACCTAAGAAAACATAATAACCGTCACGAGAGGAGCAACGACATCAGAATGCGCATAATCAGGTTAATGTTTCCATGCCATCCTTTAATGGTCGTTTAGGCCAGATTTATATATTGAATGGGAGTACGAAATAAATGATATATTTGCTTCCCATAATTTTGATGAGCGTGGAAAATTTCAAGCTGTGGTTAGTACTTTCAGTAGCTTTGCTTTAGTTTGGTGGAGTGAATATTGTCGGTTAAACCCTGATTTTATACCTACTACTTGGGATGATTTAAAACTTTTCATGAGAGATATATTCATTGATGTTTATTATACTTGTGGCATGATTAAAAAATTACAACATTTAAAATAAGACACTAACACCATAACAAAATATTATGATGATTTACAAACTACTTTGTTGCACTCAATTTTAGAAGAAAGTGAAGAAAATCTTATGGTTTTATTTTGGGGAGGATTCAACCGTGATATTAATAAGATACTAATTCATGAAGAGTGTTATCCTATGGACCATTTGTTTCATCTTGCTTGCCAAGCTAAACAGGAAATAAAACGACGTGTTGCCCACAAGGAGAACAAGCACATGGTGCACATTCCAAGAGTTGATACGGTTGTTTCTTCAACTACTAGGCATACTATGACAACCATATGCGTAGTTGTCAGGACTACATCACCTCCACCGTGTGACACATCACCATCGAGAGTGCCTACATCATCTGAGTTGATCATAAAAGGTAATGATAAAGGTGCTGATCTTCCACCTCCACATGAGTATGATGAATGCCTTGTCAATTTCAATGCACCATGTGATGACCTACCCACTACTTTGATCACAACACCTATTTTAGAGGACTATGTTGATCATTTGACTTTGCCATGTGATCAAACAAATGCAGTATCAACAATGTTGAGTGCACCTATTGAATTAACTGAGAAAGAACAATGTGAACCACAGAATAAATCAGATTTGGATCAAATATGTTTAAAAAAATTTGTGCCAATGCTTAATCATATTGATATGACCTCTAATATTGGTGATGATTCTGTGTCAAATGACTTGTTGCATGTTTGCTTATTTAAGCATGTTGTAGCATGTAAATTTGAAGCAATTAAAGTTTATTCACCAATATTGAGATGGTTTAATAATGAACATTGTCAATCTTTTAATATGAAGAAAAGCTTCTTATATGTGCAAACTGAGTTGCAATATTTCCATGCTTTCTACTTCTTGTGTTAATATTTTGGCTTTTTATTTTATGACATATGAAATTTACTCATGTATACATGTGTCATATGTGCAAAAACCGGGGAAATAAAAATGGATGACATATACATATATAACATGTACACTTCGTCTCTGTTATTAGTCACATTTCAGATTAAGCAACGCCGATGAAAGCTTTGTTTTCAAGAAGGGGAGGATGATGAGGACATGACTACCTTGGATACGACCAAAAATATTGCATACATGCATATCTGTGAGGTGATTTCTAATCCTAACTGTGCAATAATTTACTTATGTTATCCAGGACAAAAATACTTCACAGACTTTTGTGTCATGTCTAATTGCAGGTGTATGGGAATAGAACTTTTCTTTTTCCCTTATCTTCATATTCTTGAACTTTTCTTTTTCCCTCATCTTCATATTCTTGCTTGTTCTTCGATTGCATACAGGAATAGAACTTTGTGGTCAGGATGATCGTGCTTCCAGCATCATCAGTAACCTCAGGAGATTGGTTTAGCGATGGTAGGGCGCAACGTCGTGCGTGTTTGTAGTCGGATCGTCAAAGTTGGCTTCACCAAATTGATAGTTATCATCTCATCGAAAGATCAGGACACCCTCGCCTCTATCATCCGCTGCCCTTCTTCAACAGATTACTCTCCGGCTACGTGATGCCATCAAGGATTTGGGTGCTCTACATTACTTCCTTGGCACTGAAGTCACTCGGCGACCCGATGGCTTCTTTCTTCGTCAGCAAAAGTGTGCGCATGAGCTACTTGAGCATGCCGGTATGCTCAACTGCCATCCTGTCGCTACTCCTGTTGACACGAAGGCCAAGGTTTTAGCTCTCGAGGGTTTGCCAGCGTCGTACGCCCCATTCTACCGGTCTATTGTTGGTGCTCTCCAGTATCTGACGCTCACCCGACCAGACTTGCAGTATGATGTCCAGCAGGTGTGTCTCCGTATGCACGCCCCTCGTGACTCTCATTCGACGCTCGTGAAACGGATTCTCCGATATATCCATGGAACGATGTCCCTCGGACCCACCCTCGCGGCGTCCACCTCTATGAATATGGTGGCCTATTCTGATGCTGATTGGGCTGGCTTTCCCAACACACATCACTCCACTTCCGGCTATTGCGTCTACCTCGGTCCCTCCCTCGTCTCATGGTCGTCCAAGCAACAACCTACAGTGTCGCACTCTAGCGCGGAGGCCGAGTACCGAGCAGTGGCTAACGCAGCCGCTGAGTGCACTTGGCTTCGACAGTTACTTCAGGAGTTGCATCACGACATCTCACATGCCACGGTTGTCTACTGTGACAACATCTCCGCGGTGCATCTTTCCGCCAACCCCGTTCATCATCACCGACGAAGCACATCGAGCTTGACATCCACTTTGTGCGCGAACAGGTAGCCTTTGGACGCATTCGGGTTCTTCATGTTCCGACCACACATCAGTTCGCCCATGTGATGACTAAGGGACGACCTACTTTCACCTTTGAGGAGTTTCGTTCCAGTCTCTGTGTCTCTGGCGACGCTTAGATTGCACGTGCGCGGCGGGGGTGGGGGTTATCGTATGCCCACCTTTTAGTTTTTTTGTATAGTTGAGGTTGTGATCCCGTCTTGTACATCATATGTACGTGCCTAATGCACGAGAGCAATGCATGAGAGTTGCACGGCCTAAACTGAAGTCTCTACACTGCCCCCTAAGCCAAGATCCAATCGTAGCCGTTTAAAGTCGAAAGTTTGTTGCCGTTATAAATATTTTTAACTCGGCTTATTTGATTTGTCTCTCCTCGTAAAATTTGTTTCGCCTTTTTATCCTCTCCCGTCATCGTGGCTGAAGCTCCGAATCCAATCGCTCCCAAGATTAGGAGTTAGAATCAGGATTTTGCTCCAGCAATTTAAGAGGCCGGCCACGCACTGGTGTCGCGCCCAATTGGTAATTCGTTGTTCCATTTGATTCCGATTCTGTAAGGCTATTTCATGTTTTGTACGGATTCCTCGGTCTCGAAATGGTTCTATCTGCGCAATTCTCAATCGACTTCCACTCTCTTACCATCCGCTTTTGTGACCTGTCGTTCATTCATGTCTGGGAAAATCTTTTTTTTTTCTTTGCAAAATCGTGTTAAGAGTCGATTTGTTTTCAAGGCCGTTTCAATGTAAACATTGAGCAGTTCTTGGGAGCAGTCGATGCTTGTGGCGCACAGATGTGGCATCCTCGGCATCCTTGATGCGAATTTGCCAATTCGATTATTCGCACCTAGGGGCTTTGTAGGCGAGATCTGCCCCTTGAGCCCCTGGAATCCGACCTGAATTCTATAATTTTTTCGTGATGTAGTTTTTGGTGTTTTTTTTTTCTTCCAAATCTCAATTTTTCATTCCTGTCATTTGTTCTGCAGTTTGTGCAGTTTGGTCAAGTCAGCCATGATAGCGAACGGGAGGCTCCAGAAGCAGGCATTGCTTCCGCCGCGCATCCCGTTCTCGGCGGCGTCGCCGTCGCCGTCGCCGCAAGCCGAGGTCGGCCCGATCGGGAGGCCGCGGGAAGCTCACCACAGGCAAGGCCACCAGCGCACTTCGTCGGAGAGCGTCCTCGTCGACGAGCAGCCTTCGTGACTTGATGACTTGCTCGACGAGCCCGACTCACCGGCGCGGCCTTACGGCCTTCCAGGGCATCGCAGGTCTTCCAGCGACTCGTTCACGTTGTTTGACGGTACCACCGCCGCTGCTTCTGCTGGCATGTGTGGCAATGTGCTTGATGGAATAAGGACAGGAGGACAAGTTGGTTCCTGGGGCCGCACACCAGAGTTTTTCCGGGAGCCGAGCTCATTTGGGCGACCGCAGGGGCAGGGCCCGCCGTGGGATCCCAGACAGATGTTCCTGCAGGGTGGTGGCATTCCACTTCCTGTGAGGGATAGCATGCCGCTGCCAGTGAGGGAGAAGAATGGTGGGCATCATGTTGTCATGCTGAATGGGGCAGACATGAAAGGATATGGTGATGCATCTCATAATCAGATCATGGTTGGAGCAGCACGAAATGAGAGTGACGAACACCTAAAGGCACTCTCAATCAGAAGCAGACACCAAACGCGCCAAACAGTTAGTTTAATCGTTTTTTTGCCCATCACCATCACTTACAAGAATCATGTTGATTTCATAGAATTTCATGTTCATGAAACACCAATCCTGATAATTAGCAATGAATTATGGTTGGAATAGGCCTTTGAGTTGCTACACTTAAGCTCATCACCAACCCTTGCGTTGCCTACATTTAAAATCTATCATGCTCTCACTGTCTTGTGAATCTATAAGGTGCACATAGCCATGTACTTATACTGCATTTTAGTATGAATGTGTGGTTATGATGTTCAGTTGTTTAAGCAATTGATAGAGTTCAATAAGTGCTACCTAACAAGGTAGCGATGCAGCGGTGCCGGTGGCGAGTCTGCAAGCTACATTTGGTGAAGATTGGCTCATAGTTGCACACACCAATTTCCAGACACACACAAGCTTGACTTTTTTCCCGCTCTGATATACTGTCTGAGTAACCGACACAAATAAGTGCTACTAAACATGACTAGAAGGCGACAAATGTGCATCTACTGCTTAGCTATATGTGTGCACAGTTACTGCGGCATACATGTAGGCTTTGACTTGTGTTTTGGTTGCGGCATCTGTGATTACACAAAGCAGCAAGTCCAAATTTCTAGCTATTTAAGTTGAAGTCTTAAAGGAACTTTACATGCGGCATACTTGTGTGATCATTTTCAATGTTAGTGCACAGTTACACAGTAGGTGTATATCTATAATTCTATATGAGTGCACATCTAAACCAAATTGGTGAGCGTATAGAAATGTTATGGTTTCTGTCTCCGCAGAGAGGATGAACTTTATTGAAAAGATGGCAGGACATCATGTCTAGTGTTCAAATTTTAATATACTGAATTACTGATAAACCTTGAAGTTTCACATTTATCATTTTATTTTAAATGTTCATACAGGCAATATGCTCAGAGGTCTCGTGTCCGGAAGCTCCAATACATTGCAGAGCTCGAGAAAAGAGTTCAAGCCTTACAGGTTACTGAAGTGAACTGGATCATTCTTCTCTGCCAGAAGTTAGCGTTACGTTAAACATATACGAGAAATGCTCAATCTGTTTAATTTTTGCAGACACAAGGGATAGAAGTTTCAGCTGAAATGGATTTTCTTGGTCAACAAAATATCATGTTAGACCTGGAGAACAAATCCTTGAAACAGCGGCTTGAGAGTTTATCTCAGGAGCATGTAATAAAACGTGGTGAGTTTGTATGTGCCCTTCTGGCTTTTATAATACCCCAGTTTCCAGTGCAAGTAACTTTTCCCGTCGGGCTTTCTTTTGATGATTTCCTTATGAACTCCCTATGTTCTATACTTTTGTATTTAGATTCTCTAATTTTGCATAATTGCAGTCAGGCTACTTTAATCTCGATATGTGTTCGATATTGGATAAAAAGACAATCTTTGTGATGGGCAGGAAATATGCGGTTGGACAATAGTTTTAAAAAGGGATGGGATCAGTTGTTGCAGATTGTGTTATCATTGCAAAACTCGAGGGCTTCTTTTACTTTGCTTACTACTCTGTACTCCCTCCGTCCCAAAATAAGTGTCTCAACTTTGTACTAGCTTTAGTACAAATTTATACTAAGTTCAAGACACTTATTTTGAGACGGAGGGAGTATTTACTTGTGTTGCATAAATTAGTTTGTTAAACACGACTTTTCATTCTCAACGCAAGCTGTACGCAAATTGTTTGTATTGACTTGAGAATGGAGTTTTGACATTAGGAAACCATGTTTTGCTACACTAATCATAGTTCCTAGTTCCTACTGCACACATAGTCAAGTGAATGGTGAGGCATTGGCTTAAGCTTACCTCCTTCTGTTAGGGTGTGTTTGGTTTACATGATGACGATGCCTTTATTATTCAGAATATAGGATAAAATACAGGGAGACATGTCTTAGATAGTGTATGTCCATATGCAATGCTCATATGCTGTAAATAGTGTAACCCACTGATCTGCTAACATACAGTGACCACCAGCTAAGAAATTGGTCTGTCAAGAACGAATGCAATTAAACCATATATTTGTAGTTCCGTGATAATAGTCATCAGAAATCTTTCATATGTTTTCTTTCTTTTCCATCTTTGTGGGGAAATGTTATATATTTCACCTAGTTTGTCTATGAAGAAACAAGGTTTGAAGTTTTTTCCTCCAATGCTGCAGTGCAACAGGAGATGTTTGAGCGGGAAATAGGTCGTCTTAGATCATTGTTCCACAGCAGCAGCAGCAACAACAGCACATACTTCAGCAGCAGACTCCTGCCCACAATCGTAGTAACAGCAGAGACCTCGATTCACAATTCGCAAGCATGTCTCTGAAACACAACGAGTCAAACTCAGGGCATGATGCCGTCCCCGGCCTTCGCATTTAAGCCTCTTTCCAACATGTGATTCTAAGAGTTTCGCTTAACCTGCTATCCCCTGTGGCATCACTATCTTGTGGTTGTTGGTTACATCATGAGGGGAGCGATGACTATGAACCTGGTATCAAATCCCATGGTGAATAATGCTGGAAAGGGTAATAATGGATCGGATGTTCATTTTATTTTGGAATTCGCACCTGACGGTCACCTCTAAGCGCATACCCGTTGTTGACGCTAGACCAATCGGAGGTGTTTGGGTTTTTTTCTATTCGTAGGGCCATGCTTTTCTTGCAGACCACGGTTGTAATTCATTCATTTAGTGTTGCATTTCTTGTTAGTTTGGCTCACGAATGGGACGTGAGCAGGTCCTTCCATTATTCTGCCACACCCAGGAGAACTGTGCGCCTAATGTTCAATAAGCTAGTTGTAGGGACAGTTTTTCTTTTCAGACTCGTGGTAGTTAGGAAGGCCCCCGCGTCGTCCGGGAGGGCGGCTCGGGCGGCGATTGGATCCGTTTTTCTCGACAGTTCCTGTGCGCTCTTCCCTCGCCGCCGCCGGGCTCGCCCGCGCGGCTGATGGCGGCGGCGGGGTTCCCTTCCCAAGGCACTTTGAGCGACGTGTGGCGAGGTGCTCGTGGCGACTTGATGCTGTGAAGGCCGAAGATGCAGCGGCGGCGGCGGCGCTCCATGTCAGGCTGGATCCATTGGAAGGATTGCTATGGGTGGCCAGAAGGGCACTATGGTGCTTGCCGCCACCACTCATGGACACGCCATTGGTTCCAATGGAAGCAACAGCTCGGGGCGCCATCAATTCCTCGGCATGAGCACGGGAATTGCTCCGCTCTTCCCCGCCATGGATTGGATGTTGAGGCGGTGGCCAAGTGCAGTGGTCGTGGCCATCACTCGCTTCTTTGGCGGGCAGACGCGGTCACGGTGGTCTATCGCTCGGGCTCGGGCGTAATGTCGGGTGGCACCATGTTTCTGGCCAGCAAGCTGCTGGGCGGTCATTGGCCGGACGGTAGTCACCTGAGAGGCTTCAACCTGTATGATTTGCATCAATAGGTGAGGACGACGGAGCTAGTGGAAGCGAGTGCTTTTGTAGTCTCGTGGAGATCAGGCTTGGCTGCCACTTTCGAGGATGGTGCAGGACCTTCGAAGTGTCCCGAACTCAGGATTTGGAGATGTCGCTGTCCATCCTCCCCGTCAAAGACTTCTTCGGGTGGTGGCGAGTGGCTCTTGTCGAGTCTCGTCAACCAACCTATACAGATATGGTCATTGCTCGCCTGGGACCGTAGGCGTATGCAACTATTGGGATCGAGGCAAGTGGAGGAGACATCATAATTCGACTTCGATTGGGTGGTATATTGAGTACCCAGTCTTGAGCTCCGGGGTGAAAACTCTGGTATGGCCCTAGTTGGTTATACCTGGCAATGGCGGCGTTCTTGCGTCGTCACCTTGTTGATGGCGTTGCTCGGAATTTGCTCGGATTTAATCTTTAGGGTGAAAACCCACGGTCTGACCTTTGGTGGTTGGATTGGGCGACGGTGGCGCTTGTACGCCGTTCCCTTGTTGGAGGCGTCGCTTTTGGAGAACCCTTCTCGTCATTTTTATGCTGTCAAAAGATTGTTGGCGCGGATGGTCGCTGCATGTATATCGTCACTCGGTGCTTTCAGTGCTTTTTTTTTTTTCATCTGTCTAGACATAGCTTCGGTCTTGTATGACTTTGCTTTTTGTCGGCGTGATAGTTTTGTGTGTGTTGAGTTGGCTGTGTGCATCTTAGTTATGCAGAGGCTGGGTGTGTACTCGTTATGATTGTATCCCTCGATGCTACATTATGAGTCAATAAAAAGCACCCTTTATCGAAAAGGTAAGGTGTTGTCGACTCGTTGTAGTTCAGTTTCACTTGTTTTCTTCAGCAAATAGGATTCGAACACTCTTGGTTTCTGATATTTTTTAGTTGTGCAACTGTTTAGCATCCAGTTATGCACAATATTAGATGCTAATGTCACTCACTGAAACTATCCTCAGTTAGAGACAGCCTTCTCAAGCTGGATGGATAATGTGGTATTCCTTTAATTGAATTAGTATAGATTATGATATGCTAGGATTTGTTAAGATTGACTGTATTCTTTGCTATACGATTCCTATCTTATCTCTAGAAGAGGCTTCTTACCCTTCAAATTTTGTACTATAAATATACTTGTCCTTGAGGCTCAATAATGCATGCCCCGCATTACACCAATCCCTTTCTAACCTCTTACCTGGTATCAGTCACAAGTTCCTGAATTAGCTCCACCATAACTTCTGTGCTGCCCCGTCTCTAGGGTGGTCAATCTCCGTGATCTCTATCAGGGGCTGCGCAACCCGTAGCTAGGGTTCTTCTGTTGATTGCATCTATCGGTTGTCTTAAGAGTCTTTTTTCCTAGTCCATCGATCCAAGTTTTCTCCCTTCTCGTTAGTCATTTGATCTGCGTTTCTTTTTTGATTTTCCGATTTACGATTGGTTTGTGTGGCCAGCCGCCCATCAACCCTCGTGCGCCTCTAGTTCGACTTCGACAGCGACTACACCAACCCCTACATTGATGAGGTTGCCTCGGCGACATGCTATTGCTTGGAATGGTTGTTGTCCGCTAGTCATTCTGCGCGGGTCGTTGTCGCCGTGATCCGATTGGGAGTCGTACACAAACCACACCTCCACCCTGCTCGGTTGCATCAGGCTGCTGGCCCTTGCGTTGGTCGGCTGCGTTGTGTTGTGCAC